TCTATATATATATATATATATATATATATTTATATATTTATAATTATTTTTTTTTTTTATTGGATATTTTATTGTGCATGCTCATTTACCCTGTTTTTACATTTGGACTCTTCTATTGTCATCTAATGCTCTTCTAAAGTCAATTTTAAAAACACTAATAATTTAATGACACTGTTAAATGTAATGTATTGCAAATCTCAAATATCCATACTGCTGTGATGCATAATTCACATTTAGATTCACATGCACCACTGAAAACTGACCCATGTTGGATGGATTGAGCTGTCTGTCCGTCTCCAGACGGAAGGTGGTGAGTTTCAGAGCGTGCAAAACACTTTCTAATCTGCACACTCGTGCGACCAGCGTTTCACACTGTCTCCACAGCAAACCCTCTCCTGTGGCACTCAGGGCCCGGTGGATGTTCACAGGACTGATGGGACGCTTAGAGGAGCTCCCATCTGAAGAGTTCACGAGCAGCTGATCTGCAGACGCTCCCAAAGAGCCCAGACTCCTCACTAACTCCTCTGTCTGCTGCTCCGCTGTCTGAAGACGCCGCTGTAAGATGGAGAGAGACTCCGGAGCCGTGGCCCCTACACTCAGGGGACAGATCACTGACCTGGACATTACTGAGAGAGACAGACAGACAGACAGACAGATATAGATAGACAGACAGATAGGTAGATAGACAAGACAAACAGAAAGACAGAGACAAAACAACGTATTGTTTAACCTTAATTATAGCTAAATCGTAATTTAATGACATTTAAATGTTTTTGGTCAGGTAAAAGCTCTGCAAAAAATATAATGGTATTAACATGGAAATTTAAATCAGTGCATCGGACAAAAACTCACTGGTACAGTACTTGACGTCGGTGAATCTCATTAACAAAACATTTGCATTTCCGTCACACGCTGAGGCGTTAAATAAACTGTTTGTTTGTATTAACTGAATGCAGAGTAGATTTCATTTGTTTTGAACATCTGTTGTTGTTGCTTACAGTGAGCCCAGCACTTCCGGCTTAGATGGTTACCGTGGAGACCGTTCCCTCTCGTGCTCCGTTCTAAACTCCCGCCATAGCGAAAGAAAACGAAACTAGAGCGGGAAAAATGCTTTGATGGAAACATTAAGGAAGCGGGGCGAAGTGGCCCGGAAGTTCTGATCTGATTGGTCAGGTATGCGAAATTAAAAGTTTAATTTTAACTCTTCACTGTGTGTGTGTGTGTGTGTGTGTGTGTGTGTGTGTGTGTTTAGTAGCTTTCAACGTTTCTCAAAATTATTCTGGTGTAAATGTTTGTTCATACTACTGCTGAGAGAACGGCCAGGTCACGTGGGGTTTGTTACTTTTCTCATTTAATCACAGTCGTTTTTTTAAATTATTATTAATGCCAAGGTACCAAAGATAAAAGTACATAAAATATCAACATTACGTACAAAGTGCTGACATTACATGCAAAGCACCATTTATACATGTAATATAACTATAAACAAATAATACAAAACAAAAGCTTTAACAAAATAAAATCACAGTCGTTTGTGATGAAAGGACACGGGATTTTAGTCTATAATTTTACAGCGATTGATGCGCCAGATATTGATGTACATAAAAATAATTTATCAGATTGAAAGTTTAAAGTTTTTAGCACACAAGTTTCTTCTAAGGAACGTAAAACGTCTTAATATTTGAGCGCAGCTACATGGGGTACTGATTGTTGAGCCGTCGAGCGCCCCCTTGAGGAAGTAAAATTGTATCATACATAGCTATTATTAATGCGCAGTAAATAGTGCCGCCCAAAAATATTGTTTCCTTGTACAACACAGAGTATAGTTTTGACAAGAGACGCACAGACGCTTTTGAGAAGTGAAAATTGTCAGTTTTATTTATTTGTATCTTAAGCCTTCTTAGAATGTTAGAAAACAAAACATTTGCCATTATACTGAGGACAGTAAGGTATTTATTGCAATATAAAATTGTACCAATATATATTTCAGTTTAGTTTTACATTTTAGAGATAAAAGGATGAATCTCTGTAAAATAATGTTGGTCATATTTCACCCCAAAATTAAACGAAAATAGTTTGACTATTTCGCATATAAAAATGCCTATTCCTAAGACCATTATTTATTTAGATTGTGGCATTTTTAAATACAGTTTTAACACTGATACCATTTAAAAATGTGTCCATGATCATTTACTAAACATAAATAAAAATAAGACTTCTTTATAACAATGAGAATTAATTATATATACCTTTAATGTTGGGGTGGAATAGGACTTTTCTTCATGAGATTCATGCAAGATGACTATCTGTCTTGGCAGCAGATACTTGAGAAACGCTGTATGAGGCAAACAACCACACCAAAGCCTTATCAAACCGTTCCATCCTGATCTAGAGGTAAGAAAAAATATTTCATCGCTTTTGAATCACCACTGAAAATGATTAACTCAATTTTAAAAAATGATCCCAAGTAAGTTCTGCATCTTGTTTGGATGAATTAAAACTTTCCCCTGAACAACAGCTGATAACAGAGAAAAAATTAAAGATGAAGCTCATGTAAACGACTTTGATTCAAGTTTTCAATTCATTTGCAGTGTGTTTTAACAGGATTTCCCAGCAGCAGCAGAGTGGAATAAAGCACAAGCAGCCCTTTGTTTTGAAGATTATTCCTCATGCGAGTTATGAGATCTTCTCGTAGAACAGGAGGTAGGCTTGGGAACTCTGCACTTTGGCCTCTGGAACCGGATGGACGCTGCTGTCGCTGATGTGAAACCATGATCCTTTACTGGCCTCAGCATGACCTGCTACCAGATGATGGTTAGAAATAGATAATAATCTAAATGTCACTTTATTTCCAACTAAATGCAATTTGCATTAAGCACACACAAACTGATTTTCCGGCCTCCAATATTAATGCATGTTCACATAAATCTATAAAGGTCATCGAAACCTCCAACTCAACAGCACAGATACTCACAACCAGCATCCAGTCCATTTTCTACATAATTGCGCGTAGAGGGTCGTGATTTGACGTAGGCTGTATAATGTCCAGACCGCATGGTGCCACTGTGTTCCACTATACCATAAAGAATATACAGCACTCGCATCTCGCCCTCCTTCACTCCCTAAAAACACAAACACACATCTGGGTAACAGGGTTTGAGGCACTGCTGAACCAGTTTTGAGTGAGTTTACTGAACCCAGAACCCAAGGAGTGATGTAAGGATGGATACGTGATGTGAAAACCAATGATCATTTGCTCACCTTGCAGTTTAATGAGCAGAATGGAGTGAGATCCAGGATCTGAGGGAACTGCACATGTCTGTTCACCTTACAAACACTGTATCCAACCTACAGGCAAAGAAATGACAAAATAAGTGTATGGTGTTAAGAGATCTGACAGAGGAGGAACAAGGTGTTTTACCTGCTGGAATCTCTTCAGGTGGAGCGTGAGCACTGCTGGAGGATCAGAGATCAACATCTGCTTCAGAGCATCTCTGTAAACAGCTTTCTTACCTGACAACAACAACAAAAAAATCCGTTTAGAAGCTCTGTTTTCACAACTGAGGTTTATAATGAGGTTTCCAGGGGCGTGGGAAGATGTTTTAGGTTGGGGGTGCAGTACGCTGTACTGCGGGTGCGATAGAGTCTATTTACACTAAGTGAAAATAGCAGTATTTTTTAGTGATATGCTATTTACACTAAGTGAAAATCGCTATAGATTTTATTTATACTATGTTAAAATAGCAGGATATTCTGCTAATTACTTATTGCAAATAGTGGCAATTATCTGCACCTCGGCATTGTAATACATTATAAAACAGTATGCAATAATAACTTAGAGTGTAAATTTTAATTCAGATTATTAAATGGATGCCACCTTATTGGGACAAAAGCCCTCTACACCTACCCTAACCCTACCCAATACTTTATTTTCAACTTTTTGATTATTTCCTTCATTTTTATTAAAAAGAAATGCTTTTCTGATGTGATTTGAAATTTGAAAAGGGAGAAAAAGAAAGTTCGCGAAAAGGCAGATTCGAACCCGGGTCGATCGCGTCAAAAGGAGTATGACACGCTTTACCATCTACGCCACTGAATCTAACGATTGATGTCCGTCTTTAGTAATGTTGACTAGCCCCATCACACGTTGGTGAGTGGAGTTAGTATAAATAGCTTCTGCCAACAATGCGGGCTATTTGCACTTTTTTTTTTTATTCCCAACAGTTAAACAGTTGCCCACAGAAAAAAACAGGGGGTGCTGCAGCACCCTCAGCACCCCCACTTCCCGCACCTATGGAGGCTTCTGAAGTGTGAAGTGAAGTGAAAGTGACATGTGGCCAAGTATGGTGACCCATACTAGGACATTAGGCCACGACTTCCCACGACTTTGACCGTGTTGCGTTCAATTACTAAAAAACAGGTCATTTCAGGAGATCCAAAAAAACTGCACAGCAGCAAATATGGGTAAAGGGTGTACAATGATTTTTGGTCAATTTAAAATATGAAAGTGGTCCGGCTTGAATAAAGCCCCATGCAATAATGTGCTCCAGACAATACCGAAGGCTATTTTAATATATTATTACATTATTATAAATTATAAATATAAATATTTAATATACTTTAATGTATTTAATGATTGCAAATAAGATTTAAAAAAATAGCTGAAACATTTATACTGCTAAATATTAAAATTTGCATAAAAGTTGACTAATTAATTTGAAGTGGAAGAATAAATATTTGTATTGTAACTTGTAGTGTTGGTTTTTCTAGAGATTAAACCAAAAACCCATTAAAAGTTAATATTTCCATTAGTAATAGAGTCTTTGTTCTTTTTGTCTGGATGTCTCAGCAGTGGATATATGTAGAAATCATAACATGACAAAATAATCACAATGTATAATTTTTGGCCAAGTCATGCAGACCCACTGTAGAATAAAAGGAGAGAAAACAGTAAAAAAACAAAGTAATATCTTATGTTCACTTGCATGTCATGCAACTATCAGCCAATATCATTAACAATACCAGTATTATTAAATTGGAGAAATACTAAGTAACTCAAAATCCCGGGGGGTTTTCAAGTAAATATTTTATGTCTAAGTGGTTCAGCTGACAAAATGTTTGTGAACCCTAGATTGGGCTGTTTAAAATGGAGACAAGAGTGAGCTAAAACAGCTGTTGATATGGTAAAAGTTGAGCACAGTACCGTCTGCGGCTTTATGTCCAGACTGGCGTTTTGTGCAGGTGACACACATCAGTCTGTTGTTCTCTGTGAGATGTTCCACCTCAGTGAACTGATACAGACAGGACTCCACCGAACACTCCTGCTTCTCTGGCGCCGTCCTGCTGGCCAGTGATTGAAAGGCCAGCTCAGGGTCCTGATTCACTACTGTGTATTCCTTCGCATCGTCTGAGGCCTCATCTCCACTCTCCATCTCACTTTCTGTTTTTAGTGACAGAATATTCAGTTCTTCTGTTAACCGATCCTCTTCAGCACAAAGCTGGTCAGCACCATCATCTTCCTCAATTGCATTCACATCTTGTGCTTTTTCTCCCTCTACAGACACATCTTCAGAGGCCTGGTCTTCAGATAAGGCGTTAAAGCAGTTGTTGACAGAAGCAGCATGTTCTTGCTCCGATTCCTCGTCATCTTCATCCTCATTTTGTGAGAGAGCAGGAGGTTTCTCAGGGCTCAAATTCTCCTGGCTGTTTTCGCCTGCTTCTTCATCAGCGCTGCCATTTACTGATAGACTCTGATTGGAGGCATCCCGTGGATCAGTGCTGCTATCCGTGCTCTGATTGGTCAGAGCATCCAAAGTGACTTTACTGCCCAGTTTCTGCTGACGTCTCTGAGTCTATGGACACAAAAGTAAAAAAAAAAATACATCTGTATCACACATGGTCTGGATACTACTTTATAGTATATACTTTACATATTTACTCAATTCACAAAAAAAATTAAGAACAGTGGAGGCTAAAATGTGCAATTTTGCACTAATCGACCAAAGCAATTACTAATAAATGGCTAAAATAAATAAAAAAAAAATAGTTTTTTTTTTGGCAATTTAATTCTGGCTCATATCAAGGCAATATATACATAATAGGTTTCAATGAAATTTAATGGACATTTA